AACCTTGCCCACCAACATTCCACTCTGTATAATGGGCATTCAAGGACCCCCAAATGTCACCAACCGATCCCGCGCCGCCGTCCCCAACTGGAGCCCCCGACCGGTATGCGCCTTCGGTCATCGCTGCTCAAGCACGCGACATGGCCACCACCCCGCACACGTCTGCGACCTGGAGCTCGCCTCTGCGCCACCTCGCCGTCAAGGTCGCCAACACGCCAGATGGTCCGGTCAACGCCCTGTGTGGCGCCTCTGCAGGTGTGGCTTCGGGCATCGTGACGTGCCCGCTCGATGTGATCAAGACCCGTCTTCAGGCCCAGGGCTCCTTCCGTCCCCGCACCTATACGGGGCCTACGCGCGCAGTCTACAAAGGCCTTACGGGTACGGCCCGCGTCATCTGGCTCGAGGATGGCATTCGAGGCTTGTATCGAGGACTGGGCCCCATGTTGCTGGGCTACATTCCCACCTGGGCCGTCTACATGAGCACGTACGAGTACACAAAGGACTTTTTGAATCCGCAGATGGGTGGGTAGCCTCGCGCTGTCTTTGCCGAGACATCACTGATAGCTTTTGTCATGCAGATAACAAATGGCTTGCACGGACACTTGCTTCCCTCACCGCGGGAGGATGCTCAACGCTCGTTACAAACCCCATCTGGGTTGTCAAGACAAGACTCATGTCCCAAGTCAGCGCCCGCGCATCCGAAGACCATCGTCCCCCGTGGCACTACAAAAACACATTTGACGCATTTCGCAAAATGTACGCCAAGGAGGGCATCATGTCTTTCTACTCGGGCCTCACGCCCGCCTTGCTCGGACTTACCCACGTCGCTATCCAGTTTCCTCTGTACGAGTATCTCAAGAAGAAATTTACCGGTCTCGAAATGGGGCAAACAGACGTCAAGTCGGAAGACGTGCACTGGTGGGGCATTGCATTGGCAACCGTGCTGAGCAAGGCCACGGCGACATCGGCGACCTATCCCCACGAAGTTCTGCGTACCCGACTGCAAACGCAGCAAAGATCACTACCAACTACCTCCCATGACAATGTATCTTTCAGGGGAGGACATAGCGGACCGGGCTACCATACTCGACCTCCAGGTACATCCTCGTCGGATGGCATGGTGAATATACCACGATATCGTGGCGTCATCAAGACGTGCACAGTAATCCTGCAAGAGGAAGGCTGGAGAGCCTTCTATAACGGCATGGGAACGAACATGGTTCGCGCAGTCCCTGCAGCTGTAACGACCATGATGACTTTTGAATCCCTAAAGATTGTGCATCAGAAGCTGAAGAATGAGGGTCAGAGGATACAAGAAGAGGAGTGAGAGAGCAATGGCAATGATTGGATCATCATTGTAATCCTTACAAAGGGAGGAGTTGTAATAAAGCTCCCGTGAAAGAGGAAGAGTAATATCTTCGGATCGAAGCACAAATAGGAGAGGACCTGTCCGCGAGCGATCCCCATTTCATTATTCATGTCGATGTATATACACCATAGTATCGCCACCCTGGGAGCTTTTAGTGCGTTTTGGCTCTCACCCAGCTTCTCAGGTTATGACATTCCATAGTTTAGCATATTCAATTACGCCTCATTCGAAAGGCAACTGAACCGTCACAGTCCCTCTGTCCGCCGCCCCCTGTAGGTCTGCTGGTGCCGCAAACTTAGAACCTTGGAGGGATTAGTGACTTGTTTCTCCTGACTTGGGTTGCGCATTCGAGTGTGAATACGTCTGATACTCTTATCCACCGCTTGTACTCCATGCAGGACAAAAGTTTTTTTGAGATGCTGTAAAATTCCTCATCGTCACCTTGACTGTCACTGTCACCGCTGATGTTGGCCAACTGACCGCCCTCCTGCCCTTTTGCGTTTGCAAACCAAACGAAATCCGTTCCACCTACTTTTTACTTTACAGTCTTTCAAACGCCAGCAATGGTACTTTTACGGCCTTTGTTCGCTTTGCTGTTCCCTTGATATCACTGTTACCCTTGTCGATATCTGCAGTTTCTTTTTCGAGGCAGTACGGCTGAGGGTTATGATCATGTCTGCCTCTTCTCCTTGTCCTTATTCTTCTTCTCTCTCTTCCCAAAAGCGCGACGCTCTCGACTCAGCGACAGATCTATGCCGTATCCCAGTGGTCGCAGATACGAAGTTGGCAGGGTGGGCTGCGCGTATGAGGGCATCCAGCTCAATCGAGCGCTTCCTGCGTTGGACTCGACGACGCAAAACGCACTCTCACCAACATTCCACCGCCGTTCCATACTTCCCTATCGCTTCCACTGAAGCTCCAAAGAGTGACGGTAAGACCTTGGGCTGCAATGACGACCGCACACCATCTACTCGTGGCAAATCATCCGCAGACGATGAGGATGCTAGGGTAGAGGCATGGCTTGCTCGAGGCAGCAAACCTGCACTTGTGGAGCAGGTAATATATCAGGGCCAAAAACGTCAGACCTCTTCTCCCAGGCGCAGGCCCGACCTCTCCTACCTTCCTTGTAGTCGGACCATCTTCGACTCAACCCGATCCTCTCCGCTTGGCAACGATCGCGATGCTTACGGAAACCACTCCTTCACTCTCCGAACCGACGACTCTTCACCACAAACCCACGCAGGCTCACCCTTAGAACCACCCAAACCCACTCGGCAGCTCCGCCAGACGCGAGAGACTCTTGGAGACCTGGTCGCTGCGGTCGCGGCACGGAGACATGCTCTCAAGTGTAAGGCTGTGGATCAACTTGAAGAGTATAAAGACGAGATCGCCCTAGACCCAGACTGGGAGGAGGCGGACATGAGGGACCAAATGCCTAGTACCGAACTCGTGAACAAGGTGAAACGCTCAGGTACCTGGTATAAAGGACATGTGGTTCATCTTTGAGGCGGGGAGGGGGCTTCCAGGTCTCCTGGAGATGGCTTCGCTGCCAAAACATGAGACTTGACGACAGAGGATGAGCAAGACTGAGACGATAGCTGCCATGATAGAGGGGGAGAGGGTGGGGCTATATACCATAGAGTGAGAAGATGACCTTGTAGAAAGATTTATTGGAGAAGGTTGATGTGATTGTTTGGATATATAACAAAGTGGTTGCTGTCTGCTAATTTCTGGCTGTTTGAGGCTTGGTGAAGTCTAAAATTATATCTGGTGTCTGTATATTATGCTCGCTGAGGGGCTTAGGGGGCTACTTGGGGCGTTTGTATAGGTGCAAAGTGTACTGGGGTTTGTGTTTGTGTTTTCCTCGGTAGCAAGAGACGAGGTGAAGCGCAAAAGCTGGGGCGTTTGTGGATGCTGGGTTACTGAAGCTTGGGTTTGGGTTACTGCTAAGGATGACAGACGCGGTAGAGTATAATTGCTTCTTCCTCGTTTGGCTTTTGCTGTTTCCCAACAACTCACACGGTATGTTGAGTTGAGGATACACCTGGGGCGGCTGTAGTTACTGGCTCATTGAAGTTTAGTTTCCTTTTACTGCTGCCTGTTCGTGATGTTGTTCTGTATCCCTTACCCTACTACACAGTACACCCTTGCCTTACGTAGATAGGAGACCCTAACCCTATATACTTGCTTGTGTATTATCTATTTCAGATTAATTCACATAGCGCTAAGTACTATCTTGCTAGGCAACTAAAGTACAAAGCACTATAACTTGGCAGTTATGGCAAGGACAATTAGTCTATTCTAAATTAGGATTAAGGTGTGCCTAGAGTAAGGGTGGGGTAGGGTTAGAGTATGTAGGGTTAGAGTATGTAGGGTTAGAGTATGTAGGCATTGTAGGGTTAGGGTGCATAGGGTAAAGGATAGAGAATATATATGAAGCTGCTCCCTCGTTAGTAAGATAGTATATTGCGTATATCTACGCACATGCTAAGCTACTAATATCCCAGCTATACCTACGTAGGAAGGGTGAGGACGATTAGTCTACTGTGGCGAGGACAATTAGCATTTCCCCTTTCTCCTCACTAAAATACGAGCAAGGTTGAGGTTGGATCAAGCTTCGGCAGTAAGCTTAGTAGTACTTAAAATCTTCAGATTTGCTCAGGCTTGATACCGTGGTATCGCCAATGTACCACCGAGACGATGTGGGGGTGGGAAGGCAGGAGGGGAGAGGTAGTTGCATAGGGGTATAGAGCAGACACAATCTGCCACTGAACGTAGAAAGCATAAACAAATCATCTAGCTTCAATACCCTCTTTCGATTTGGCTATCCTTACTATGCTCTACCTATCATCCTACCTGCCCTTCATCTTCTTTAGCGTCTCTGCGTTCGCCACTTTTGGGAAGGTCTACGACTGTCGGCAGATCTTCATTCAACATTATGACCAAATGGTGCAGTCACCAGGGGATCCGGACTGCAGAATATCATGCGATGAACAGACAAAAGACCAAAAAACTGCATTTACTCTTAGGTTCGACGCTGCTATCAAAAGCGTTCCCTCAGACTATATGCCTGAAGGATAGAGCAGCTCGAGAGATCCTTATATATTCCACAAAACCGACTACTCCCAAGGGATCTCCAGCCGTAATGTGCGATTGCGCTTTAGAAGTCACAATATGGCGAGTGTATAAAGCCCACACTGTTAAGCAATTCGAGGCCGCCATGAACCCGGATCCGCCTCCACCGGGAGCTGATCCTTATTTCAGGGCGGTTGACGGCAAAAACGTCCACTGCAAACACCAAAACTAGTAAAGCATTGCTATGCCACATGCCTGCTTTATCTCAGTAGTAAGCCTACCAAGCTCCACCGTAAGCCTTCAAGCTTTAGCAGCAAGTATCAACTATTCTTATATTTGCATGGCTTGATACTGCGGAGCAACTAGTGTACCAGCAAGGCTACAAAGGGAGGGGGAGGGAGACGCACTTGTATGCTGATGCGGCTGCACCCCATGGGTCGCGCCATCGGAGGGCTGGCGCAACGCCGATATATATACTCATCAATTACTTAGCTAGGGTGAGGCAAGATTACATCAATCGGCGGAAACTATCAAAGCGGTGCTCAGTGAGCCGTCTCACCCTTATCCCTATCACTCTACGCCCGCAACACCTCTTTTCAAGACCTTGAACTATTAGTAAATCATCCTTACTATCTGGAAATACACCTAAATGGGCTGGGGACACCGAGTGTGCGTCATCACATCCATTGGTTGTACATCCAACGACTACCGTGCAACACGTCGGAATGGAGTCAGAACCTTGGTGTTAAACCCAAAATTGGGTACCACGGATCGCTGGTATTGTCATACGAGATGTTTTTTGTCAGTATGAGAGCATACGTCTTCGGTGACCGGTTCTTGGTCCCAAAGTTCCGCCGCGAGGCTAACCACTGAGTGAAGTTGTATCAGCCTGCAACTTCCACGCACCCAAGGTAAAATGTGGGCATTAACTCGCCAAGTAACTACACATACGAGAGAATGCTACTTGATTGTCCCATTGTACAAGCTTTGGTGGACACATATTGCGGAGGCAAAATGCGGGACCATTGTAACGGTACACATACAGACGAAGCGACTCTGTCGGTGTTGTACCGGTACTCTCCCAAACCCTTCCTTATTCGGGCCATGGGCAGAATGGTTTCGAATGGGGTACCGGTAGTCATCGAACTAGAACGAGACCAGTGCTTCCATGCACATGCTTCTCAGTCGGAGCACACCTGCAGCTCTTGCTGATTGCTACACTTCAACAATGACGCTGGCAAGTTTGAGGACTCGCAAGCAGAAAACAAGTTGCGAAGTGGTCAGTTCAGCAGATCCAACGCTTGTGGGAGCAGAAGGATTGCACGCTTGATGTATGATATAGTGATTTGGCCCCCACCCGGATTTTTTCTTTTTTTTCTATAGCACACAATGTCCAGACGTTACTGTAAACATTATGCAAGCCCCTCATTCCATATCGCAAGTCCATTTCCTCACTCATCAAGCCCCTACTTCTATCCCTTTTTAGACCTGACTAAAAAAGCCATGGACCAGTCCAACGCAGCAAGACACGAAACAGCGATATATACGTGCTATACCTACCCGGTACCCTTACCTCAACACATCAAGCAAGACAGTCCCCAAAATCACACAGTAGCCATTTCGCGTCGTCTAAACGTGTTGACAACGAACCCGTTGACTGAGCGATGAGTGCTCGTGCTCAGTTTCATCTTCATGGCCGTGCGAGAAGGAGGGAAGTGGGCCCCGTGGACGCGTCAGAGCTAAAACGCGGATCAGGCGCGCGTCATCCAACCTCGACATGCGAACGTCCCTCTCCTCCACCAGTTCTACCGTCTAGGGTTTTCACATCTCCGATATACCACATCCTTACCTGATTGAACAGCATCGTTCATGCGATTTTTCCCTGCTTGGTTATTTGGCTCAAGCGCCGGAGAGGATCAGATACAAATGGCGCCTGAGCCAATCATCATTGACCCATTGGGGGATGTATTATTGACCTTGACGAATCCAGGTGCTAGGTTTGCGGTTTGGCACCGCGATACTGATCATACTGATCGTAGAAAGAGTAGCAACATTGAGGAAGGCGTTGAGTTCGGTCCGTCTGATGAAGATTCTGACACGGTGGTCGAGGAGGAGCGTCCAGTGCATCAGGAGATGTTGACGAACAAGAGGAGGAGAAGTCAAGAGGTCGCCAGACGACCAATATCAAAGCGACAGAAACGGCAATCCGCAGGCGAGAGTGTAGTCCTCAACCCAGCAGAAAGTGATTTCGAGGGGCTAGCAGGAGACGGGGTCGGCCCGGCAATCGTGTATCGTGTGTCCTCAAGACACTTGATGAGCGCCTCAGCCAGATTTCGGAAGGAATTAACATCTCTGGATGAAAGCAAAAAGAACGAAGATGAAGATTACAACTTGGAGACTTCTGACTGGGACCCTGAGGCTTTCGCCATCCTGCTTAACACTCTGCATCTTCGACATAGACAGGTACCGAAAAAGTTGTCACTGGAAATGCTTGCCAAGGTAGCCGTGCTTGTTGATTACTACAACTGTGGGGAGGCATTCGACCTGTTGGCATCGATATGGGTTCCGCATGTTCGTACACACTACCCGGTACCCGTGGAGTACTGTCGTGACCTGATGTTATGGATGCTCGTTTCCTGGGTATTCAAACTACCAGAAGAGTTCAAGGAGACTACAGAAAAGACTATACTTCAAAGTAAAGAGGCTTGTGTACGTGACATGGGTTTGGGCATACCTTCGGTTGTTCTTGGTACGTGAATCCGGTTTGCGAGTGATTAACCAGCTAACAAATCATCACAGAACGAATAGAGAGCACCCGCTCTCTGACTATCCAAGCGATAGTATCTACCGGTGTCTACTGGTTGGAAACGTTCAACACTGGTTGGCGTTGCGAGTACGACATCACCAGATCCTTCGAGTGCGGTTCCATGCTGCTTGGTGCGCTGTGCAAAGAATTGAAGCGCATTGGCTTCCAATCGCCCAAACCTACTGCACCGTTCAGTGGCAAAAGCGTGGAGAGTGTATGCAAAGATGTGCGGAGTATACGATCTCCGACATGGCAGTATCAGGGCAAGGGTGAGCACGCTACAGATGAGCCAGTACACTATTGCGGCTTCGGAGATACGATCATACTTGAGAGCGAAAACATTCTTGCCAACGCCGAAGGACTGAGACTGGCTGACTTTGAAGACCGCGGCGAGGAATCCGAATAGTGGCCTAGGGCCATGGGTCATGGGCCCGACGGCCGTCTGCGTTGCGGTTGGAAGTTGTTGTGGACGGCCTTGATTCCAGTCAAAATGGACGACAGTAGGTACGTACTAAGATGACCACGCTCTCACAGTCGCACTCCATCCAGTAATCACGGTGAATTGGCTTTTGGGATGGAGAGTCATAGTCGAGCCGGACTTCACTTTCACGTCACGCCAGCACTGTACAAACGGAGCGTTCGTTCAGTACAGAGGGTATTTTGGCCAGCTACAATTGTCCCGAAACATAACACCACGCTCCGTTGACGTTTCGAGCCGCCATGAAGCTCGCCATGATAGCTTTCTTCGTCGTGTCCGCTTTCGCCAACGCTGTTTCTCTGCCTGCCAACTCCATCCAGAACCGTGCCCCGACTGTCACCAAATGGGACAAGGCTGTCAACGATGGACGCCAGCTTTACAACGCTATGCGCTCCAAAGACAGCATAGCACGCTGGTTCTACAAAGACTACCCCGACTTCGCCGATACGGTACAGTCACCGTTTGACGGCGACCTGCGCGAGGAATTGAGGAAGTGGGGCTACAATGACAACGACGCATTGAGCAAACTGATTGAAAAGGACTGTGATTTCGACGCCTATCATCATATCAAACCCGCGTTCGACGAGTTGGGCCTTGACACGAGGGCAATGAAGGATGGAGGGCCAAATGTAGGCTTTAGGGTAGACCATCAGGACGGGCCGGCAATCAAGAGGAAGGGTGACGGAACCTTGCCTAGTGATGCAAATCAGTACTATGATGTTTGTGGGAAGGAGTATAGGGTTCGTCTTCATAAGTCAGCTCCATGTGGACGTCGACTGACTGCAAACAACAACAGGCCACAACAGGAACCTTTGAATTCATCGTCAACCCCGGCGGCATGATTGCCCTCATGAATGTCAGAGCCCCCTCTTACTCGGCCGGCGTCGAATGGGGCCGCAAGCCAACGACCGCCGAACTGCCTCATCTCCGCGCCATATCAGACATTGCCTGGGGAATGTGGAATCGCGCGGGCCCAAGCAACAAAGATGTCAAGTACCTGATCGTCACGCAGATCCTCAACCCCACAACCAGAGAGCTGATTGCTCGTGCATACAAAACGCTGGACCCGCCGCAGGGTCAGGACAAGGTATGGCCGGGTGTAGAATTTAGCATGGAAACGGAAGCCGGACAGGCTATGTTGGGTATGTTGTTTGCATCACGACAGCAGAGCAGGGGTTCGTTTGCTCACTTTTAAACATAGGATCGCCTGTTGGACGATGGGCTGGGTACTTTCTCATGCAGCACAAGACGCAGCTTGGTGGTAATCGCTTCATTTCAAAGGTCCGCGTCTTCAAGAACGAGGAGAGTGGCAGTCTTGCCTATCTGTGTTTCTACGTGGACCCGACACCCGCACCAGACGGTGCCATGGCAGCACTCCCACCACGTGAGTTGGCTGCTGCGGTGAAGGCGGACATCGAGGCGTTTTCCGACTCTGCAAGGCTTGCACGGATGGGTGGTGGTGGAAAAGCTATTGTTCGTGAACACGTCCTGCGCTGGTGATGCACACTTGTCATTTGGTTGATTGCAGGGTGGGTGTTGTGGTTTCAATATGGGTAGCATAGCATCTACCTATGGTTGCTCAACTTTGTTCTGAAGCCTGTAACGTAGTCGGCCAAGGCAATAAGACATGATATCTTTCAATTACCCCAAAGCATTCAGCGGGCATGTGATAATTGTACTGAAGAGGTAACGGTAGTTGTATTGTTTGAGATTCCAAAGGCGGCTAAGCCATCTACACATGTGAGCCGGGAGTCCGCACACGGTAAACCGCAGGCCTCCTGCCGGGCCAACGCTGGCGAATCGTCGATGCGGCCTCGCGTAATACGCAGTAACAATAGTGTTATTTGAAAAGAGGTGCGTTGAGGAATGTGAATAGATGCGGTGGCGGTGGAGATGGGGGTGGTTGTGTGCTACCAGAGGGGATGATGCATCGGAGGACTCGAGGACTCTAGTTGAGAAAACAATAGGCTCTCAACCACTGATGCGTCCACCTCTTCGTCCTTGTCAGCATCGAGCATGGCTGATACCACCTTTCCAGCAGCCATGAGCTTGTTGTAGGGATACATCAGCACCACCAAAGCCTCATCTGCTTGGCCGTGACCTTGACGAGGCAATCACCGCTTCGCATATGGGAAACCCGGGCCGACGACATCGCCACGCGCATTTCCTTGTAAAAGTTGTGGGTCGACCAACTCATCCGCACCGAGCTGCGCAAGTCTCTATGACATTGGCTGTGCTAAGTAGCTCAGTTGGGGTAACAGTGGGTGGTAAGTACAACTCCGACGGCAAAGAGCGTGGGCATCGTTACATCGTCTGATGACACTGCTCGTCAGCGCACCGTGGCTGAGACGACAAATTTTTCCGTGCAACGTCCTGGACCGCGACGGCCATGGACGCACAACACTGCCTCGATCAAAACAATTAAACTTCTTCCTCAAGCAACTGGACAAGCCAGAAGTCTCAATGAAAAAATCGCGCCTAACCAGCAGATAGTGCAATAGCTGGGGCACTGTGGTCGCAGCGCTGAGCAAGCCCAGTGAGCTGCGACCGAGGTCCAAAAATAAGAATAATCAAGAAAGGCCCGTAGGCCAATTTCAGAGATTAAACTGAAAAGAACAGATACTACACTTGATCTAAGCCAAAAGGCAAAGACTGGGAACCGTTAGTCTGAGGTAAGAGAGTAGGGTCTAGTGGGAGAGGAAACTTACGAGCTGAGGAAAAGAAGAGGAGGAAGAGGGACAGAGGGTTTATATAGACGAGGGGGACGCTCTAGCGCGGTCCAGCTGACTCAGCGGAATTAGCGTCGCGCTAGGCCGGCGGGACTCCGGCGGCCCAGGAAGTGGACTGTGCGCCTGGGCGTGACTTCGGGCAACAGCGCGTCACGTGTCCCGCAGGCGGTGACGGATCCACGCTGTTTTGCGGTGCGAGGTGATCTTGGTAGGCAGGCAATCATGTCGGGACGGGACCGATTAGCCGCCAGGACGGTACTTGTGCAGGCTGGAAGCAACGAGATGCCGGGACGTCTTGGGCGGTGAGAGACAGTGGGGATGGAGGCTTGCCAATGAGACAAGTCATCGGTGAGGTGTTGACAGGGCTTGTTGAGGAGGACACTTTGATAATGGTCTTCTTCCATTGTCTAATCAATCAGATGCTCTGGTGAAAGCGCTGATCTACTGTTGGTACACTACATGGTGGCGCAAGCATGCTGTAAAGTATTTGGCAGTCATGGGTACTAGCGGAAAGTTGCATCTTCATGCCATGCTCAATGCCCACCTTGGTATCCGCCTTGGTATCAGGTTGGGTATCAACGTCAGTATTGAGCGTGGTATCACTATCTCGCGACATCAAGGTAGGTATCAAGGTGGGTATTGAAATTGGGATTAGGGTAGGTATCGAGGTAGATATCAATATATCGCGATACCAAGGTAGATACCAACATAGGCATTCAGTAACAGGAACACAAGTGAGACGTGTGACCACGCACTAATTAACCGTATACATCTCTTACTGTGAGTCTGCCTCATCCAAGCTCGTCACCTGATAAGTATCACAAGGCCGAACCGCATCATCCAGCTGGATAGTAGCTGCCTCTAAGCGACGAAGCAATACAGAGACACGTGCGTAGCAAACTTTACACCGCATAAGGCAGGCTACAAAGATAGTTGCAGCAGCAATAGTAAGATACGTGGTAAAAGATGCAAAGCACAGCATGGAAGGCAGGATCGTTGCTGCTAAGAAACAAAGCCGCGATACCACCAAAGCAATCACCAGTGTTGCTTTCCCTCAGACGCCCTGGCTAGGATACCGGTAGATGCTTCTGCTCTCCTATCAGCTACAACAACAACTCGAAATAACGGCCTTTGCTTCATGAGATGATGGCAACTGCGCAGACCGGAAGCAGCAAGGTACAGCGAGTCTTGAGCGGTGAGAGGCAGCCGAGAATCAAAAATGTGAGCTCGCTTGGCAATGAGGCTCTGTGTAACAACGAAACATGTTGTCGGTGAGGTAGGTGTTTGCAGGCGTTCTCAAGACGGCACTTGGACAACTGGCTTCCAATCATGTGTGGGACTGATGGCTACAACGTGTCTGATGAAGTATCATGAGGCTGGGGTAACACAAAGCACACCAGTGACCACCACGCCAATACCCGTTGCAGCTTGATATGCAGGTATTTTGGCAGCAGGTACATTTGGGTCGGGGTACCGAGAACGCGGGATAGTTTGGTGATTCCGTGGTGCTGGCATGGTTCTGGACGCACGACATCAAGTGCACCCGAATTGAGTTGGCTGCTGAATACAAGTCCAGCACAATTCCATTCTGCGCATAGCGTCAAGGCCAGGCGGAAGAGAAATGCTCCTCACTTTGACAAGTTTTGCGACCTCTCGACTTATTCAAGCATATTCGCATGGGATGTGTGGGTGGCGCGCTTGGATTTCTGCTGCACGGTACTGGATAACTGTTATGCGCGAGGGAGGCTCCATCACATCGGCCCAGGGGGCGGTGAGGACAGCAGTGTTGTGAAGGTCGACTCGGACTACGAAGAGAGAGGGCGTACGCAAACTACAAAGACATTGCCCAATTACAAAGCGAGAATACGCTGGTCAGAGACCGAGTCCAGTTGATGAATTTGCCGTTGAAGAGCGAGCAGAGTCGGCACGGCGAGGCCTCATGGTATCTTCAGACCTATTGCTGTCAGTTGACGCTGATTCGAGAGAACACAACGCAGCATGCTAGCATTACTGGATGAAAAAGCACGCAGTCTAGCATTGCTAGATGAAAACACCACGTAGTCCAGCATCACAACCTGAAAACGTCATTCACTGTTTCGCAATACGTTCCCATCACCACCCAGCATAAGTGAGCTGTCCTGAGCAATTTTCATCAACGAGGTGGCGTTCCTTACAAAGGATGGATCCCCCGCCTGTTATGAATAAACAGCTTCTAGAATTCCGGGTTATGAAGAATTAATGAAGAGGAAGCTTGGTGTGGATACTGGCAGCGAAGGGATTCGGATTGGCTTTTGGAGATTCATGACTTCATGAATTTGTGGGTTCTCCATTGTGTAGTTTCAGAACTGTGACCCGCCCGGGCGGAGATTTCATGCCTCGACTCGTTGGGAGGGGAGGGGAGTGGGCTCCCGACCAGGCTTATCGGTAGACGAGGCAGTCCATTGGATATATTATATATGCGATAGGGACTGGATAGAGAATGTGGACCCATGTGAAGAGGAATACCTATAAGCGTCGACTATGTATAACATGCTTCACGACAAAGGCTCGATGTTCATCGGGATTTGTGATCCTGGATTATATCAATGATGCTATATTGAGCCAATGGAGCCTTCATCCTGATAGGCTAGCCCGACGGACGGAGGATCAAAAGGGAAAGAACGTATGATGGAAAGAAGCGCGATGAGGTGACTGATGTATACTTCATCTCCGAATGATCTGCTCTAGTGACTGTTGAGGCGGTGCTAGCACGACGACGCTTTGAGAGACCAGGACGAGGGGCTGGGCCTCATTTAGGTTTTGGTTGTGCAAATGAGCCGCTGCCAGGGGACCGTCGAAAATGCAGTTGAAGTGCAACTTTATTGCGGCGAGCCGTACGTCATAAACGGGAGAGGCTGTTGGGGTTTGCGACAAAGCAGAGGCATGTGAAGGGACGATGGAAAAAGTTTGCCAACGGTAGGTGTGTTAACGTCGACGACCCATCCAAGGAGTGTGTGGCTGTGTCTTTTGCGGGTGCTCTACTTGTCAATGCAATGACGCGATGTCATGCCTCCGATGCGCATGGACAGCCGGGTGTGGCCTCGCTAGGATGAGCTGAGAGAAGGTTGTGGCTTTCGTTCGGCGGGTGGCCGTTGAGCTGGGCTGTGAAAGGAGGAAAGGCCATCATAGCGGAAGGTACCTAGATGCACGATGATGGTCTTGCATAGCCAAAGCCGATTGATAGCTACTATGCTAGGCACCCAGCACTCGTGGCTCAGCCTGAAGCCATGGTGATGTAGTACATGGAGGCAGTTGCAAAGTATAATACAATACACACCCTCTTATCGACAAATTGTCCACCAGTGTGTGTGCGGCTGTCGGTCTCGGGGGCGCGGAGAAAGCCAATCGCGTGTGGCATCTTGACAGATCGAGATAAGCGTAGGTTAGCGAAGCTTGGACCGGCAGAGGAGAAGGGGAAGGGGGGGGCCGACATGTCCACAACTTGAAACACGGAACCTTTTGCCACTCTTATCACGCCAATCGAGAAATTGCAAATGTTGTAACCACGCCAATGGGGCGTCTAGAAGTCCACATAACCCGAACACGAGCGTCCCCGCGTGAGGCTGTCGCATTCCCAGTCCGACTCTACACCCTCGACGTCGACGTCTTTTGCTACGATGCCCTTCTTCCTTTTCATGGTTGTTGCACGACCACGACGACCACGACGACGACGACGAGTTGGCGGTGAAGGGTGAAGGGGGCGACTGCTCATTTCAGCTCATTTCAGCCGTTCCCCGTGTCGCTTAGCTACCTATGTATTCATCAGGAATCAGGGCGGACTGTGACTACGGGCGCATGCTGCTAGCCACCCAGCTCCAAATCCCGCTGAACAGAGGAGGATCAGCGGCATGGGTGAGGGCTATGCTGGCCAAGCGCCTTGAAACGCAATCTCGTCATGGCCAGCAATTGAAGCAGCATGCACACTCGACAAGAGGAAGAGATGGAAAGCAGGGTGCACGGCCGTATGCCTGCTTCGGGGAGCAGTGGACAGCGATTCGCAAACGAGGGGTGGACGACCATGACTAACCCCATCACTTGCCATCTACCTACCACCACGACTAACCACCACCACCACCACCACCAATACCCCTACCACTACTACTACCACCACTGCCAGCATCACCACCACCACCACCACTACTACAGGCGCCAGCACCATCCCTCAACCCAGAGCCTACAAGACTAAGTATTGCCACTACCTACCTACAGCACACTACTACCATCACGACTCAGACTACTCCAACATGCCGGCCGCCTCTCAGCGACTGTTGGTACATGGCTAACCTGCAAGTGTCAGGCCGCCGGGCGGCACCATGCTTTGCGCCTTCTAGTCCTGCCCTCTGACTGGCTGCTTCTCTGCACACCCATGATGCGGTTCCTGGCTAAGGATGCTGTTGTACTGGTCCCTGCGACCATCTGGCCCTGAACGAAATTACCAGTCGCCCAGGGGCCGGCCAACCCTGCGCTGTTGTGCCTCCATTGCTTCCTGGGCCCACTCGTCCCGGATGAACCAGCCGCTCATTCATATACTGCCCGCCATGCCCTCGATGAGTCCCTTCTCTACCACAACCGCAAGGCTCAATTCCTTCCAACACACTCGCTTTTCGTCTCTCTTAGACGTGTCCGTTCTTTGAACACATCCAGCCACTCTCTCCTGGATCAACTGCATACTTAGCGTGTAATTGAATCCCTTGTCTTCATCATCAACACCCACCCGAATTTCACGACCAAGGAACCTTCGCGATGATGAAGCTTACCGTCGCTTTCTTAATGGCCCTCGCCGCTGCCGATGCCGCTGAGGCACGCAGCAACCGCCACGTCCGCCGTGCCTACGGATCTGGTGGCTCTGGTGCCCCCTACCCCATCGACAATGGATATCCCGTTGGCGGCCCAATGGTCCCCAGTGGTGCTGTGAGCTCTGTGCCCAGCCCATCTCCCACGCCCTTGACGCCTGAAGCTGAGGTTGCCCCATCCCCCACACCTTCCGTCCCAGCTGCAGGCGACTACGGCAATGGCTACGGTGCTGCTCCTCCTGCCAGCTCCAGCTCCAGCTCGCAAACCCCAGAGGCGGCTGTCAGCAGCAGTTCCAGCTCCGGTCCTGCTGTGACCCCCTCCGGTGGTGTCTACCCACCCAGCGGTGTCCCCGATGTACCAACCGGTGCCGTTCCCTCGACCGGAACTGGTGTCCCCTCTGTGCCCGCTGGCGTCGTCCCCTCTAGCAGCGCTATTCCTTCCGGTGCTGTTCCCTCCGGTCCAGCTGGCGGTGTCCCGTCTTCTGGTGTTCCTGTCATGGACGCAACCGCGAGCGCCAGCTCCAGCATGGGATACCCGGCCTACCCCACTGGCACTGGATCTGCCCCATCGCCCGACACTCCCATGAGCGACATGGTTACAAAGACCATCTACTCTACCCAGGTCATGACCAAGACTGCTTGCCCATCCACCGTCACTGACTGCCCTGCCAAGGCGACCCAGTATGTCACCAGCGTTGTTGCCGTTGGCACCACTGTCTGCCCTCCTGGCGAGAACCCTGAGGCGACCCCCGTCTCTGAGGTCACAACCCAGTACCCTGTTGACGAGGTGGTTACCAAGGTCACTGAAACTCTCACCTACACCGTTGGCATCGGTTCCACTGCTCACCCAGTCACCACTGAGATTGTTTCCACCAGCACCTCTACTTTTTACGTGATATAAATTCTGTC